TTCTGCTGAAGAATCTAAAATTCAAGTTTTTAACTGGCCTTGCTCTGGGAAGGCAGTTAAGCACATAAATAGTCTCCCCGACCTTCAGCCTGCACTCTGCTAAATACGGCTGTTCTGAATTAATCTCAGGAATGTACGTACTAAAGAAATCCATGGGACTAGTCACAAGAATGATGATATACCTGTAACTATGGTTTTTGATTCAAAGCTGAGGACCTCCTGGTTATCTGCCCTTGTAGCCCTGGTTATCCAGCTAATAGGTTACTGTTCTATTTGAATCAGTGGCAGAGATAGAGTTAAGATGACTAGCTTGAGTACTCAGAGCTCCCCCTCTCCAGACACTTAAAGCTATGAGTACGTGGACAAACAGCCTCCAACAGAAGCACACTTCCTGACTGCGCTCTGCACATATAGAGCCAGGAGAGCAACAACTGCTGCATGAGCTACGCTGAGGAGGATTTCAGCATATGCCAAGGTTTAGATAAGTTTGCCCTTTGTTTTCAAAATGGGCTTTGTTTTCTCTCGCCCTCAAATGACACTCCACAGAGATTCTGAAGAGCTACATCTGGAATGAGGAAAATATGGCTGAAAGGATTTAATTTATCCTTAGAATAAGATCCAGTATGTCATCCAGATAGGAAAGTGAGCCAGGGATGAATGTTTGAAATAAAAATTTATGAAACATGAAATGAGCTTTAATAGTAAGTCTGCGAAGTCTGGAAACAAGAGGTCTCTCAGGAGTGGCAGGGTCCTATTTTTATGGTACTCTGATAGATGGGAAGGTGATAAAGTGCTGCATGTGAGGAAAGAACTAAAAACGTAATTGAACATGGTTCATAAATCCACAGAGATCCAAAAGCTACATGCTGAGTACTAATTCCTGCTGGGAAATGTTTCTATTTAGTTACACTGTAAAGGTTAATAGTAAATATAATCTAACAACTGTAAATCTTTGGTTTATTTTTCTCCTAAGATACGACTTACCATTGATCTTCTGTTATCTATCATTTGAAGATTCTGTCTGCATTTTTCAGTAAAAGCTCTCCTTCCTCTTTTTGACTAAATCAGACCATGAACTGAGATTTTGATTTATATGGGGTAACAATGTCTGTTCTTCCAGAACTGAAAATGTCCTCATTTAAGATCAGATCAGAAGATGGGATGAAAGCCTTTTATAATTTTGAAAGGAATCAGTCATTTTAGGCCAGTCTCTACATTTTTGTTATTAATCATAAAGATGGATACATATAAAAGAAGATATTTTTACATCTATACTAAAATTCAGAGAATTCTACATTGACAAATGGCCATTAATAAGAGAAGGATATAAAGAGAGAAGAGAAATGTTAAAAATGAGACCTTCTGGCTTAAAGGCCCACTGCTTTCACAGTTTGCAACTACAAGGGGCACCAAGGATGCTAATGCAGTTCACTCTTAGGTGAAAAGTTGCTGAACTTAACTTGAAGGACAATTAAATTACAGAGAACTGGAGCTGAATGAAAATATTTCAGAGCGCATTTATCTGGTTCTATTTCTTGCTCATTGCTTTCACACATTTATTTCTCCTCTCATGGATGCAAGGCCATTTAACTGTCATCATATTCAGTAACATCAATATGCCATTGCTTCTGAATCCTTCCGGCCCTGCAGTTGACACAACTGAAAGACCACATAAATCTGTCCAAGAAGATGCTTTCTACTTCTAACATGCTACAGCATCTCTGCCTTTCAGGTGTCTGAACAGAAGAAAGCACCGTTACTGCATACCAAATATCAAGAGTCTCAATTCCTCACTCACCATTTAAGCATTACCATGCTTTTCCTTGACCAAAATTAAACACAATAATCCTAGTTCTTCTTAAACTACTGTTTAGCAAGTAGCTGTACCATGTTTAACAGACCATCCGCCTTTTAGGAGCGTATGTACAAGATACCGTCCTGCTGGTGGTCCTTAATTGCAGCAGAAATGAAGCTACAGAAACCTCCCTGCTGATGCATAAATGAGTTCTTTTCAGCAGTATTAAATAGTACTTTTCAGAAGACAGCAGTAAAATCAGAGAAATTTCACACATACAAAAGAAGTGTTTTATAGGAGTGCTGTTAAAGCCAACGTAAAAATTTCATATCATCTTATTGTACCACTAGAACTGTATATAATGTTCCAGCAGTCATGTACATACAAACACAATGTGTAATAATAGGCACACAGATTGTTTTGGTATTACTGTAAATGGCAAGCTATCAATACATCTATATTCCATTTCCCCCCACCCCCCCATGTACTTCTATCTTATTTTTGTCAGTGGTGATTTGGGAATTCCACTGAAGATACACTCCTGTTTCTTATGCCATACTCCTAGAGAAACTAGGACACATAAAAGAAATGTCTAGATGAGGAGAATTCATACACAGGAAAAAGTCTGAGCTTCTGTCAAAATAATATGAATAAAGAGGCAGCATCTCTGATCACCCTGACAGTGGAAATGCACAAGATTTGTTTCCTGATGGAAAAATCACAAAGAATAAAATTTGCCTCAGATTCTCACTCACAGTTCAACAAAGTCATTATTCAGAAATTAAAGGAATAAACAATGGATAGATTCACTTTCCCAGTAGGTGTTAATTCCAAGTATAAATGGGCTTAACTCCAAAAAGCTAACTGCAAGTTCTGAATCCATGACCCCTGATTTACACTGAGCTGCAGCACTGTTAAGCAAAATGCAGAACATAACTCCCTGTATTTTAGCCTTATTATTTCATGAAGCTTCTTATGGAAAGACTGGACGTAAAGGAAAAGCAATCAGATAAATTATTGTACATATGGGAGATGCTTCAGATCTTTAGGATCTTTGTAGATAATTTAAACATTATTAGCTGATATTTTCTTCTCAACAACAAACTGCCAGTTCTCTAGCTAGGTACATTAATTCCGAACAGAAACAGAAGCATTCTATGCAGATTCAGTTGTCCAACTCTTTTTTTACAAGGGACATTATTCTTCAATGCCAGAAGAAAAAATTTGTCTCCATTCTGATCAGATATGAAAACAAGGCTTTTCCCCTCAGTGGGCCACAGTAGATACAAACTTTGGAAAAAAAAATATCTGGGGAAAAGAGAAGTGTTATTTCTGTTATTTGCTTGTGGCCCAAACAGAGTTTTAATGAGGTAGAATAAATGTTTTAAAGCAGAAACAGTTTTATCTGCCGACTCTGTTTCTAAAACACAGGATTAATTCCAGCATTTCTGCTCAGCCCATTTGCTTGTCCAGAGATGCATGTATTATATCTACAGGGCTACAACAGACAAAATGCATAAACATCTCCTGTGCCTCCATTGTGCGCTTGCAGAGTGCACAGTCTAATTAGCATTGCAAGAGGAAAAGGTGACAGGACACACTTTGACTCCTGAAGCATCCTGGTCTGGGAGCGCTGACAGGCACTGCTGGCGGCCATGAGTCCGTGGTGGAACACACATCTGCAGCCACACAGACTCTGGTGCACAGATGACCCCAGCGTGCTGGCATTTCCCACCGTGCTGAAGCTTTGCTTTGCTTTGCAGTTGGAAGTTGTTTGGGAGAGCAGAGATGGCGATCAAAGAAAGGGCACAGTCCTCCCTGGGTACAAGCATCTGTGTTCTGCAAGCTGAGCTCAAACCTGTGAGTGTGAGTGGGTCTGCCACATGGAAGAGGCAGGATTTGCTGGGCAGAAACAGCCTGGCTATTGCTTTCTGTGTTTCTGTAGGAAGCAATGACTAAATATTTCAGCCTGGAAAATGCAAATCCCTCCCCTTTGTTTGTACAGCATTTGTCATCTACTGGGCATTGCACAGGCAACTGAAAGACCACCCCTGCATAAGGAGCTGGCAGTGTAAACAACTGATCAGATTACTGGCTAAGTGTCCTCAACTCCTATATGAAATTAAGTTCTGGTTATTTTCTTCTCATATGCAAGATTTACTTTTTTTTCTTAAGAATGCTTGCTAGAGTGTGAGTGGGTCTGCCACATGGAAGCTGCAGGATTGCTGGGCTGTAACAGCCTGGATATTGCTTTCAGTATTTTACTAGAAAACAATGATCATTAATATTTATTTCATACTATTTATTTATTTATTAATATTATTTATTAATAATTATTTCAGCCTGGAAAATGCACATTCCTCCTCTTTTAACTGCACAGGTGGGCCTCTTTTCTCTTTGTCAAGCAGACAGCATTCCAGGATATGGAAGTTGCAGGGTTTGCTGTTTTCTTACTGTCTTTCCTTGATGTCAGTGTATTTAGAAGGCTCTCATTTCCTTATCCCTATTCTCACTCTCATAGCCATGATAGGATGTTTGCTTCTCTAGTTCTTAGGAGTCAGCAATTACAATTGATTTCCTAAGTTTTCAACTGTCTCTTCTTTTCCTCCTGCTGCAGATTAAATTTCACAGAACACCATCTTCTGTCCTATGAAAGGCACCTAAGGGGCACTCTGGGATAGTTCTCTCAGCAGAAGACAAACTTCTATCTATCTTTCTATTATTACAGGGAATCTGTGCAACAATTTTTTCCCTTCAGCACCACATGGAATTTACTTTCTCTTCACAGAACAGCACAGATTGAAATAGAACTCACAAAATGAAGGGGCAAAAGGAAATTTTGCATATAATGCTATAAATAGGTCTAATTTGACAACACCGATAAAGGCTAAAACTTGAAATAAGTTTTACTTAAAGCCCATGACTGTTCACCAAAGTGTCCTTTTAGAGAAATAATGCGTATTATTGAGATGAATTATACCATTCCCCAGTGCTTTCTCCTTGCACTGTTTTCACTTTTTACGCTGCTTGTTCAAATCCACTGCATATGCAATCAACTCAGGATTCACTGTGCACACCAAAAGTGCCTACACAAAGGCAGGAGCAATTTCTTTTTGCTCATAGCACATAATGACATAGCACATATCTGTATGGGCTGTAAAAAAAAAAAAAAAAAAAAAAAAAAGTATGACTGATTAGATTTTACCTGAGTTTTCTTCTTTTTACAGCCCATTTGGATTTTAGTCAGCAGGAACGTGGCTGTGGTGCACAATACTGCTCTGATGGCAGACTGTGCGCACAAAATCACGAGGTGCACCTGAGGTAAAAGAGACAGGCTCGTGTAAGTAAAGAGCTTTTGTTTGTTTGAAAGCAGTGCATTTCCAGTCCTGCCTGAGCTGGAGGAGAAATTAAGTTTAAAAATAATAATAATAACCTTTTACGTAGTGCTTTTGCTGCAGCAGAGACTAAGAGGACCACACTGACATTTCCCTCTCACGCTGCGCCCACGCGCTGTCCCTCCCTAAGGGAGCTTTTCTTCCCGCCCTTACTCCCCGGGACTATCGTTCCCAGCAGCCCTTGCGGTGCCCTCCCGCCTCTTGCACGGGCTCGCTGCCGCGGGGGCTGCTGGGACTTGTAGGCGTCTGTCCGCTAGACGGCTGCTGCAGGGAGTTCGGGCGGGCTTCGCTGAGCCGCTGAGGTGAGGGAACGGCGAGAAGGCGGGAAGGTGCGCGGCCCGGCTGTGGGGAGCGGGGAGCGTTGAGGAGATTTTGCGTGGATGCTCCTCTCCCTCGTTTGTAATGAACAGCTATTAGGGAACCTAACAGCCATTATCATTTTGATGCACCCAACGCGTCACGCTCTGCAGCTGGACACGTTCAGGATCATCATAGAACCACAAAGGTTGGAAAAGACCTCCAAGATCATCCACTTAAACCATCCACCTATCATCAGCATTGCCCCCTAAACCGCGTCCCTCAATTCAGTGTGTTGGAGCACAGCTGATGTTTGCATCACCTCTGTGCCATCTCTCCGGACTGCTGCTGCAGAAGCACAGCTGAGTCAGCTCCAGAGTCCTTAATTACAGCTGGAATTTCATTCAAGAGCATAGCTGAAATGTTACTGAGACTGTTCGCCAGGGGTGCGTGCACTTCTGATGTGAATGAGGAGGGGAAAAGAAATGAGAAAACAGAGACAGGGCCACGATGTCCCTGACCAGTGCTACTGGAAAGCTCCACTTCTCATCCTGTGCCACTCACCTGTGATATCACATTTTTCATAACAATGTGACTGTTATTGTGCATTTGGTTTGCAGCATGCGCAGCTGTTTTTATATGAAAACCGAATGAAATTTTATTAGCAGATACAGTGAGAGCTCTCCATGTTGTTCCAGTCTGTTTTTTCAGACCATATGTGCTCAGGGTCTGCAAGGTAACTAGTGTGGTACTGTCCTTATTACAAAGTAGAACACCAGAATGATTGTACAGGTTAGAAAATAGGCAAACCTTGGTGTAAGGAGAACTTCCTTTTTTATCAGGGGCTTCAACAGCAGAATTCCCCATGAGATAGTGATTTTGTGTACAGCTGGGATGCAGGTGGGCAGAAGAAACTTGCTTTGGTTGCCTATGGACCAGGGATAGCTAAATAACACACCGTGTGAGGGGCAGGTGAGTGAGCTGTGCACTGAAGTAAAGCAAATACAAGTAGGAAGATCTTGGTGCATTACTCTTTGCAACTGGCACATTTCAGTGCCCAAATTTTATGAAAAACTCTGTTCCTGAAATATTAAATGGTGTCATCTTACGTCATGCCAATAACTTCTGGGTCAGCCTTGCATGCATGTTCCTTATGCCTCTGGAGGTTGTTACTGTCCATGGTTTTCACTAATTATCAGTTCTCGATGTGGAATTAAAACAGATCCTGAACTGGTCTGACCAGGTGTGAAGCACCATGCTGGAAAATTGTATGACTCATGCAGGCAGCAATGTAATAACCGAGATACGTTATTTGCATTACTAATAGAAGTAAGTCAGGCCTCAATAAGCTGGAGCCAAGACACATTCCTCATCAAGATACTGTCCTTGTCAAGATACATTCCTTGTCTGTGTTGTGTTCCTGTACGTGCCTAACAGCTGATTCCAGGGGTGATACTGCTTGAGCTAGACCTGTTGGGTGCTAGGATATGTGAATCCATATGCTAGATACTTTACACCATGCAGAGCAAAATCTTTCTAAGAATTGGCCTGTTCTGTACAATAGGGCAATCTTTCTACTTTCCGAGAACAGTAGTGTGTATTCTGTGGGTTCTTTGAAGCAGCATGATTCTGTCGACAAGCCAAACAAAAGTTTCTCCGGATAAGCCATTCCTTGTTGCTGGGTTTCCATATGCTGTGAAGCTGGTTCTCAGGTGTCTTGAGGACACAGGATAACTATTGCAAGCTGCAGATGTTTATAGGAGGAGTTTGGCAGCACCATTTGTGATCGGACCATCCTGTGCACAGCAGGTTAAGCTCACCTTTGATGTTTTTGACTGTTAATTTTACTGCATTATATAGGTGTGAAGCAGCCATTTCAGGCATTTTTAGCTTGGTCTTCTAAGGAAATCAGGCTTATTTCCTTTCACTACTTCTGTCTCTGCACTCCCACATAGCATACTTTTTAACCCATGACCAATTTCAGTCAGACTGGGAAGAGAGGCTGATCTCAAATATATCTCCATATGGAGAACCTCTCTGAACTGACAATAAGGAGGATTTCTTTCAGTGAAGTGGGTGTTCGAATGTTTCTGGTTTGCTTTTTCAATTCTTGTTTCCCATGCTAAAAAGAATTATTGCTGTATCACTCCGTGACCTTTTATGTGGCTGTGTTTAATTCTGTTGGGCTGGAAACCAGAGTGAGAAGCAGTAAACAGAGATTTTGCAATTTAATTACCTGCCAGCCTTGGCATAAACCTGGGCAACACAACTAAAAGACCCCAAAACAACCAGAAACAGCCATTTCTGGCAGTTGCAGGATAAGCTTGTTGAGAAGCTGCCTGGATGTTCTCCTAGCAGACAATCTGTCCATGAGCTGCTGCCTTTCGGGTACTGACACAATTGGAGGGAGAAGTAAATGGGACTGGGAAAGGAACACAGCAGTCAGCTTAACAGTACACTGCAGGATCAAGGGATAAGGCTCAGGGAGACAGCCCAATTATCTGCTTTTTGCATACACCTTGCCAATTTCTGTTTTACCAGCAACTGCAGGGATCAGTTTTTTAATTAATTGGGCTCAGGGCTGGACACTGCTGGTTAGGGAGATGGAAGGCTAATTCTTGATGGAACTCAGGAAGTAATAAAGTTTTCATAACATGTTATGCTGTGCTTTTCATGTTCCCCTTTTACCAGATTTATGTAAATTTGTGTTGATGTGATGCTATGAGTCAGTGCTGACTTGTTTTGGAGCGCAGATAAGTTGATTCCAGATACGCACCTTAGAGGAGAGCTCTGCAAGATGTAGAGATGGTGTTAAAAAGGGGAAGGGAGCAGCCCCTCTGGGACAAGGCTCTCTTTGAGAAAGCCTCTCCTGCTTTTCAGAGCTGCAGCAAATCTGCTTTGAGATCTTTGTGAAAAAAAAAAAAGCCTTGTTCTTGCATCTGCACTCATCCATCACTGTAATAGTCTCAAGCATCACAATACGTGTTTGTTTTCTGTTTTGTTTTGTTTTGATCTCAAAGACCATTTCCATTTATTCTCTGTGAAGGAAAATGATCTTAAGGCGTGTAGACTAAAACTGGCATAAAAAGCAGGCATTTCAGGCAAATTTTGTATTCTGAGTCAGGCTAAACACCTGTGATTATGAACTGCGAAAGGTATTTATGAGTTCTTATTTCCCTTTGAGGTAAAAGCTGGGAGAAGCAGCAGGAGTGGCCCCAAAGAGAGCTTCACACCCCCATCCAGGACCTGCTTACAGCATCATGTCAAGAATGGATTCTGCTTATCCTGACATTTCATTCCTGTGAGGTAGGCTCTGCTGCACTCACAGCTACCCCTTGCATGGCTTTTGGCTTCAGGTAAAAACTTAAATGTTACTAAAGCTGTTAGAGCTAAATCAAACTCACACAAGTCTTTTCTTTCTGCATTGTTTAAACTTGTGGAATTTATTACTGAAAATAACAGTGGAGCAATATAAAAAAAAAAGAATGAAAATAGCTGTACAGATTTGCACTTGGAATGGCAGAAGTACCTACATGAATTTCCTTGTCTCTTATACAAACACTTTTCTGAGAGAACTCAGGCTGGAGTAAACAGACTTCTGCCTCCTGCTGCCTTGCCAGTGCTCTGCTGGTGCCTGTGGCTGATAGACCCAGCTGGGAAGGTGACTAGAAATAGGGCTGCTGGCCTGTCTAGAACACAGGTGCTGTGGTCTGCAAGTGTTGCTTCTCTTGTACAACTTTGTTACTTCCATGTTGTTTTTCATCAGTGGTTTTTGAAAAGCCCCTGAAAATGTCTCCTCCCACTCCGTGCCCCAGCGCTCTGTTGCAAAACTTAGCCTGAAAGGTAAAGTTGAAAACAGAAATGTAAGGTAAGAATCTTGCAGAAGTATTCAGGGCAATAATATTTCAGCATTTGTGAATCTACCCTGCAGACCACAGCCTAAGTTACATCCTCCTTAGTGCAGTAGTTTGTCCATCTTCAGAGATGGGGCCTTGTGGCTCTGCCAGTGAAGGCAATGTGGCACCTTAACTATTGCTGCCACAAGAAGTGCTGCACCATTTCTTTATTTTTCTGTGTGAATTGGGCAGTTTTTGAACAGAAAACCTGTTTTTATTGAAAACTACAGGGGGAAAAAAAGGTTGAAGGACTAGGTCAGCTTTTACTAATGGGTCAGGCTGTTTGGTAAGGAAGGGAAGCAGGAAGGTGTGGCAATGATGCCTTGGACATTGGTTGTAGGATATTCTTCCTAAGTGAAGCTGATTCAGATTTGGAAATGATTTGACTGCAGGCAGGTAGTTAAGGACATAATGTATTATGCAGATTTCTACCTAATTTACTTGTCAAATTAGACCATTAAAATACCTCAAGTACTTGTGGCTTGGGAGAATTTTGTGGCATTTTTAGGGCAAATTCACCAACTTCTGCTCACACAAATCTTGTGTTCTGTCCTCCCTGGTGTTCTGAAACAGGACAATTGATCTGTGGGTGTGGAGCTGGGAGACAGACACACAGGGAGAACTGAGAACAGTTTGGAAGTGGTACTAATCAAAGGTTGCAGGAGGTGAAGGCTTCACCTGAGACTTCCCTGTGACTTTAATTGAGCTGCATTTTTGTGGCTACGTAACTCTGACACCATATTTTTGCACAAACATTTCATTGCGCCTCATAGGAACTTCAGCAGCCTGCACTGTAAAGTCCCACAGCAGCAGAAGTACATTTTTGTCATTCCCAATTAGAGAAGGCACTAATTGTAAACATTTTTTGCTGATTGTCCTGTATAGTACTGCAGTTTTATACGCTCCTCCCTCCCTGCAGATCTTCAACTTTGACTCTCTACTAATTATCAAATTAATGCCGTCATGAGAGTGCGGTGCCGAGCCAGACCATGGGTGTCCTTATTGCATAATGCAGTTTTGGCCAGAGGAGTTTTTAGCAATAGTGAAGCAGGGCGGGGTATGGAGGACACACACTCTGTAATTGAGGATCAAAGGTACTTCTCTCTGCTTCTCGGTGTGCAGAAGAGATGTTCAGCTGCAAAAGGCAGGAGTGTCAGGAAGTCTCTCTCTGAACGTTTTGTCGCCAGGGAGAAGTGAAGAGGTAAGTTCTGCTTTTTAGAGAATCTGCACCATTTTTTGGTAGGAAAATCCTTTCCTCAAAGTAGTTTGGCAATATTTTGTTTGGTAAGAGGCTTAAATATCATCTTGATTTAGTAAAAGCTGCATGTGATGCACAGAAATGTGACTGTTAGAGCAAGGATATTATGAAAAGCAGTTCACAGTACTTCTTTTCTACAGAGATATTACCTAGGAGGCAGAAATATGGAAGGTATTGTAGACAAATGGAAAAGATAAGGCAAAATTTCTCTAAAAACTCTTAAGATGTAGCTTTTGTTAGGATAAAATTCCACTGTCTACAGACCTATGAAGTATTAGTGGTAGCAATGGTAACGGCAGGACGGTTGGACTAGATGACCTTGAAGGTCACTTCCAAACTTGTGGTTCTATGATTTAATTCCTGTGGAATACGATGTTTTCCACAGATCTTGACACCACCAGAAGTTCTGACTTTCCAATTAAAAAGAGGGGGTTTGTTTCATCTCCTTTTATGTACCAAATGATGAAGCATCAGTGACTGACCAAGTCCCGTCTTCCTTTCTCCTCTCCAGCTCTGTGTTCTCCTGGTAACTGTATAATGTAACACAAAATAATGATTAGCATCAATCTGAACACACAGCTTTAAAATAAATGGGCATGTTTTTATTCTTGCAATAGATCAGTGCAGTCTCTGTTGCAGATGGAGCTGTACAGTCTGTGTAAGGATGCACTTTGTTGTAGTTCTGTATGTGTGTTATTCTGCACGCTTCCAACAACAACTGAATCATAGGACTTCAAATTCCATCTGCAGTGACAGAAATCAGACTTCTAGCCAAGTTCTACTTCAGAATCCATGACTAGTGGAGAGAGAGCTATGAGTGCTTTCTGAATTAGGCTGCCTTAAGGGAACCTGAAATAATCCATTGCCAGGAAAAGTTATGAAAGTAGTTTGGTTTGGAAAGTGGACTTGCAATAATTCTTAGGTAACAGAGTTCTGGAAAAAGATACTGTGGAGTGTCCTAAGAAATCGCCCTTTATAGGGTGGGCTGAATTTGGCTCTCTTATTCAGAAGAGAAGTTGGAAAGAGCAAAAGGAGTGCAATGGAGCTTTGCATGGGATAGTCTGTTTCTATCTGGTCATGAATTGTGCTTTAAAATGTGTTTGTGGACTCTGGATTTTAGTTTTCTTGTGCTTTTATAATATTTGCTAACACCGGTCACTAGGGACAGCCTGGATAAAATGGAATTGCTGTTTTATTTTTTTGCTTTTTTTCTTTTAAAGGTTTCTTTTTCTCCTAACTATCCTTTATTGTAATAGGGAAGGCTTTCAGAAGCTGCTCAGAGTTGAAGATGGATATTAAGAGCATGAAGAACTATCTTTATTGGCTGTTCTGCCAGTTTGAATTAATCACCTGCAGCTACCTCATGGAGCCCTGGGAAAAAGTGCTCTTCTACACTTTCAACGTTACTATGTTAGTGATGATAGCATACACTGCTTACATCTTTTTCCCTGTCCACATTAGCATGGCTTTTCAATTCTGCTTGCACTTATTTGGAAGCCAACATGAAAATACTGTTTCTGTTGTGAAGTAACATTGGCAACCTGACATAACTTTTGGATCAAAGAAGTGTTTTTCTCAACACTTTCTGTTTAGAGAGACAGGTTCAGGGTGTGTGCAAACACTGGTTTACTCTCTTCGTTTTCTTCTGCATTCTGGGACTCTGTGACAGCAAATTATTTTGCCAAATCAATTTCAATCAGTCCTCGTTTTTATCATCTGACAGTGCCTTTTAAAGAGCTTTCAGGTTTAAAGACTGACTGGAGTTACAAAGCTGGGTTTGGTAAGGAAGCAACTGTGCTGCATGTTTTGTTACTCCAGGGAGAGCTGTTCGGATACGGAGAGTTTTTATCTTGGGAAATTATACAGCATATATTTGTTCTTGTCTGCCACAGCTTTGCTGACAGGGAAGATGTGTACATGAAAGGTTTTGTACAACACTATGCAACTACAGGCTGCTTTTCTAAGCTTGATATGTATGTATTTATACAATTATTTTAGTATTTATTTAGACTCCGTTATTTAATGCAGTGAATTATTTGTCCAGTTCATCATTATGCAAACAATGCAGTTGATTTACTGAAAACGTGAGGATTTCCTTCCGTAAATGTTTTAAATAAAATCTTATTTTCTTGGACTTTGTTATTATTTTAAAAGATCAGTAAAGCATACATGGCATATGCAAAACATTAAACCATGTATTCAGCTGGAGTAGGGATGTTTTATACTCTTTCCACTTACTTGTTTCTGGCACATGAACTGTTGAGACTTCAGATTTTGTAGCTAACGTGGTGGACATCCCATAATTGGTTTTGTTTTGAAGTCCAGGGTTTTTAAACTTCAGTCTTGAATGCACAATATGGTTGTGCTGCCAGCTGGTTAGAGTGGATACTGACCGAAGCTGGCCAGAAATGAAATGCCAATGCAATTACATTGAGAACATGTGCTCAGCACCATGCCCACAGCACAGCAGCAGTGCATACAGGGTGACAGCCCAGCTCTGCTCCCACCCACACTGAAGTGAGTTTTCTTCTGTCTTTTGAGCATAGTGATGCTCCTAGAATATCCTCACCTTTAAGACAACAGGATGCTCTCAACAAGTGGTAATCAGACGATGTAGAAACTGGGATTTAATAGAATCATAGAATCATTAAGGCTGGAAAAGATGTCTAACCTCATCTAGTCCATCCCATTTGGTTACAGGCTGTGACAAAACAAACTGAAAACACTAATTATGTTACTTGTCATCTCCCCATGAGATCCAGTTACTTTCCCAACTGATGATTAGGAGAGTATGGAAATAGCTTATTTGTGAAAACAAAGGCAGATGAGTTTAAACTTGTAACTCTTTCGACAGCACTCAGATAAATTTGTAAAACAAATGAACTTCGATTTAGTGCTTTTCAATTATAATCTGATCGTATGTTTTATTAAAGTAACCTAATGGCTAAAGTGAGAAACACCTTGCATTGTCTCCTAGCAGCTTTCATGTACAGGAGACAGAATGCCTTTACTGAAGTTCAGGGGCAGAAGAGGGAAACAGGATTATAGTTTGGTCAATTATCACACTATCTGTCAGGATAACCCTTTAGTTGCAAGACTATCAGTCCATAATGTAAGCAGGTAAATGTAGTATTTTGCATCATACATGCTTGAGAGACGTGCAGATATTGCATTATATACCTGCAGAGAAATCTCAGAGTGTAAGTAGGCCAACACAGTTATATTTACATTGGATAAGAGCAGACTGTACACACACATCCAAAGTATTTGTTGACATTAAGGAATCTGACATCTGGCTGTAGAACTTAGAACTTATGCTGGGTGTGTTTGTGTTTTTTTGTTTGTTGCCACCCTTTCCTTGTCTTCCCTGAGTAAACCCACTTGTGTTTGTTGTGGTTGCACGAATTGCCTGGTGTCTCTTGCAATAGCTGTCACAGGATCTTGCCATGCAGGTGTCCTATTTGCATGCTGCAGTCCTGCGACATGGGCTGGCTCCTGGGCATCTGCAGTGACAGCAGTGCAGTTTGCTCCGTCCAAGAACAGCACAAATCTCTAAATCTCAGCTGTGAGAGCTGGAGGGAGGATGGATACCACAGAAAACCAGAAGGATACAGAGAGCTAAGTGGCAACTGAATGAAAAATACTTGATTATTTTTATTCATTACAATCTTTTCCCTGCATGGGACTAAGACTCCTAACTACAGAGTAAGATTTAAAACACTATATTTAAACTCCACCTCGTAATTGCTGTTTTGAAACAACGCAAACAAAAATACTAACCTGCTTGGGCACGCTCCCTGCTGGGATCTGTGCTCTGGCCCACAGCCTTCTCGCAACTGAACTCTGCATAGGACTGCCTCTCCAGAAAAGAGCAACAAAAACTTGTGCAGATCTCCCCATCAGAAGTACTGCACCGCGTAACTGTTCCATGGGTTGCCTGGCTGCCCTGCTATCCACCAGGAGCATGGCAGGTGCAGGCACTGCATCTTTGCTACAACAGTTGCATCAGGAACACTTGGCACAAGGGATACCTTATTAAAAACCAGCACTCCCCCCATGCTTTCCCACATAGCCATGCAGGCAGTTCTCTGCAGTTTTTGTGCATAGACACATACATGCACAGTCTGCACGAATAGAAGGTTGGTTCTTAGATGCTGGATGGTTTATTAATCTCCTAAACATTAATGTCAGAAGATTTGCTTGCTTAACAAGTGAGTATCAGTTCCTTGACATGCCTGCCACATGAGACTAATTCTGCACACCTGTCAGTGAGGGTTGGGCTTTTGGGTGTGTGTGCATGGGGGAGGATAGGGTTGTGTGGTGGTGCTGTTTGGAGGTTTTTGTTAACGTTCAGATGCAGGAATAAAAGGTGCTTCTTGTTTTCTCCCAGGGCTGTTAACCCCAGTGTACACTCGTATGTGCTGAATGTACTTGCTCAGTGACTTTCTGTCAATAAATGAATTCATTTTAGCATTCATAAATGTGGACTTAAACAAGCAGTGTTAATTGAACAAAATTAGTTTCTGACATATAACCATTCTAATGTCATTCCCATCTTTGTGAATAGTTCCAACCTAGAAAGGAAATTGGTGACACGAAGCACCGTTCACAGCTCTGCTTCACCAGCTTCTAAAAAGGATTCTCGTGGTTAAATGGCATAACTTAGTAGGGCTGGTTCAAGAAAGGTAAAACCAAATAGCTAAATAATAAAGACCTACTAAATCCAAGTACCTTATGCTTCTCACTGTGATCACTGTGTGATTACAACTCTAATACATTCCTTGTGTTAGGAGGTTTATTATTATAGGACTTTCATACCTTTCCTCTCATAAAACAATTTATTGATCAAATTATTTAAAGCTCCTAAAGGCAATGAAGATAATGTTTTTTTTGTGTGTGTGCAGAACTTTATTTCCACTGCTGCTGCTAACAGTTTTTGAGGCCTAAAATAAGTTCATGTTCCTTATTGTTACTTTTATTGGTTTTGCTATGATGACATAAGCATTTTGTCTAACCCTAACCCTAACCCTATTTACATCCGAATGTAATTTGAGTTCTTATCTTAGCTATTTGTTATCTGACTTGAAAATCCTGTTCCTAAGACAAACTTGTCAGCACTTTCTAGCCTATACATCCCACAGAACATACTCCTTTTCATCTTGCATATGTGTATTTAGAATGATGTTGAGTTCACAGAAGATCTGTCTGTTTTTATAAAGCTGACCCTACGTTAGCCAGTCTTGCTTGGCTGAACCTTTCTGCCTAACTTCAATGCTTAGCTGCAACTACTTCATGCAACAGCCTACTAACAGTATTATTTGTTATAGAAAAGTACTTCTTGAATGATATCTCCAAAATACAAACATTTTCAGGTAAACCTTTCCAGCAATTTTCTAGATTTAAGGTGCCTAAACAAATATGTTGTTACAACTCCTACCTACCTGAACTGAGGATTGAGGGCTTATCTCCAGCCTATCCCACATGAATTCAGGAATTATGTTTTCTGGCTGAGTTTAATGCTAGCACCTGCCTGCCTTAAAAGGAGGAGACATGCATGCAGTACAGGGAAGACTGATCCAAACACCTCATCCTTTTGACATGCATTACACTCACATCTGTCACTGAAGTTCTCCAACACATGGAAGGTTCTAGGGGTAAGGCTGGATCTCTGCAACTCTCCCACTGAGAATGCTTCTCTGCAAGGACACATCTGGCAGGAAAATAGAAAATGAGCCTACAAGTGTGTGAATGTTCAACAGGCACGTGATCTCTGACCTTGCTTAAATCAATTTGCAATCAGCAAGTAGAACTGAAATATTCATTGGAGGGTTTGTGATCCACCCTGCACAATAGGAAGAGTTTGTATTGAAAGTTTCCACTAAGGCAGCATTTGTACCACTAAGACAGCATTTGTACCACTAAGACAGCATTTTCTCTTTCTATGTGCAGTCGAAGGGATTGTAGTGACCTGTTATCTCCTCATCTTATAGTTGGTGCGTAGCTTCCTAACTGAATCAAAAGTGCAGCCACCCGGCCCACACAGTACATGAGGACGACAAGACACTTAGCTCCAGAGCTGCCAAGTCCTTGGGGCAACAGGTGTGTTGGAGCTGGGACAAGGAGTGCAAGGGACCGAGCATCAAACTATGCACAAAGCAGCAGTCAGCAGCTAGGGAATTCTTGTGGGCTCTGCTGGTGGGCACCAGCTCTTGGATTATTCTGCTAAGAGACCAAACAAAGATTTCTGTTGCTTTGCTCTGCACGTTTCATGTAGAGGCATGCAGAATGCCATCCAGTGAATTAAAATAGGCTGTTGAGAAGCATCATTTAAAAATGGTCCAATCCTACATGTGCTGACTTTAGAGGTGTACATCAATATAAAAAACTTAAAAATCTACAGAAAAACTGGTTCATATAATGCCATCATGTTGTTACCAGAGAAGGTTGCTGGACTCAGGCTGTTATTGGCACTATCTGGCTTTACCACTTCCACATGATGGAGTCTCCACAAGCCCCAAACACATTCTATTCCTCACAAAATATTTCCCAAATGTTTAATCAGAATTGCCCTAAACTGCTGCTCAGCCTATACAAATGGTCACTTCTCTCTCAGAAACAAGAAAAAACAAAACCTGAGTACTCATGCTCTGACTTTAGTACTTGGAAGACTTGCTTGAAGGCAACTAAAGCTGCTTACCATTATACACCCATGCATGGCTTATTTATCTGTGTAATGAAGGAATGCATTAAAGGCCAGTGTAATACCTGAACATGATTTATGATTACTTATTAAAATTGTATTAAAAACGTGAGCATATTTTTTCCAGATCAGGTGATTTTGTATGCATCTTGCATCCTGTCAGAGCGCAAGCAGTGTGTTTCGGGAAAGAGAATTTCAAACAGTCAAGACACCAAGGTAAACAAACAAGCTATATTCAGAATTCAGAGGCTGCCAAGGTTAAACAGCAGCTGTCTCAACATTTCCACCATTTCCACTGGAGACAATCCCTGTTAAACCCTGCTTGGAGCACATGCGTCCTTTGGCTGGAACTGCATCTTAGCTCAGCACAGTGGATACGGGAACAGGCATCAGGACCTAGTGATTCCAGAAGGCTGTGGAGCAGCTGCCTCTGTGTGCTTGCTGGGTCAGCTGCCCCAGCACAACTGCTGTTGCTGGCACTCCTACAAACACTTCTCCCAGGCTAACGCCTCTGGCACCTCCTGGCTCTGTGTGCCAGCTTCTACAAACCTGGGCCTTTGGGATGAATTCTCTGTGTTTGATGTGCTGGCAATCTGCGTGCTTACCTCTAACTATGGCTTCCACAGGGCATCATGGAACTTTTGCATCACGGTGTCTAAATCTGGCTGCCAGAATATTTCCACTCCAGCCTCCTACAGGACATAAGCCTGGATTATTTTGAGTATTAGCCTTCATCTTTTAAGAAAAAAAAATCTCAAACAAACCTAGAGCTTTAATTTATGACTGAGGGCTGAAGAACGAATGAGCATGTATAATACAGCATGTAGCATCCAGTCACATAATGCTAAGCAGTATACAAGCAGCCTACCCCAAAAATTCACAGCTTGAGGAGTTTCCTTCTATCTTACAAAACTTGTCCCTCAACACAGATTGGTTTTTCTTCTTTAAGTCCTTTCAGTTCTTAGCAATGTAAAGCACTCCCTTAGCTGATGTGAGAAATTGCATTAGTTGTGGATGTAGGTGTCATAATTGTTGAACTTGTTGAAATTGTTGAAAATGAAACATAATTGTTTCATTTTATAAAGTTGATTATTCAAACTACACAAAGACACTTTTCTTTCCTGATTATGCTTTGCTTTTAGCATGGAATGGAAATTCTGGCAAGTTTTAAATCTCACCTCTTGCCTCTTGTTTTAACCATATTCCCATCCTAAGCTCATGAAGATTGAGTATGGAAAACTTAAACCTAGCTAAATTCTGATAGTAGTATTCATTGCTACATGACTAAATTCTGGAATGAGCTGCAGCAAACATTGCCAAAAATCTCTGAAACCCAACACAAGTCTCACTCCTATATTTAACTGCTCTGGGAGCACGCAGCTAAAATAAGCGGCCGTGGCAAAGTGCAAAGGCAAATCTGTCAGCAGAAGGAGCAGATTGCCAGAAGTGCTTAAGCATCTCGATCAAAGCTTTTGTCTTATTTTCCGTTAAGGTGATGCTATTTTCATTTAGGTTCAAAATAACACATCAGGAACCACACTGGCACGAACAAGAACTGAACCAAGTTTTGCTGACTTTTCGTTACAACTGAACAGACTGCTGCTTTCCATTAACACGAAGGAATAGTGACATCAGGTGGACTATCACATTCATCACAAGAACATCTCAAGTCTTCTCTGACAACTTCCAAAGGAGAAAAGGAAATTTCTGCTGCCAGCCCTTGGTAGCTCCTTAGGACACAGACTGGAATAATCCCTATGACAACAGCTTTGTTTTCTGATAGAAGAACTCTGACTTGCGTTTAAATGATCAAGAATCATGGTAATACATTGAGTGCTGACAGGAACTACTGTGCGCATTCACAAAGGGAACTGAACCCCCCAGCAGTAATTAAACTAAATGCAAATTCAGCAATAAAAACCCCAGAAGGTTTAAATCTAGTTTTTCATTTTCCTTGTCTCCCTTCGTCCCTTCAGTAACTGACTGGGGGGAAACGTGAAACTCCCTCAGCTCAAGTAAGTCTTTCTAAACAGGAGGATTAGGGTGACAGGGGTTAAAGTCTGTAAGAAGCTTATTTGGTTTCTCATTGTGAAAGCCTTCCTTCTGAAAGAACAACACATTGGCTGTTTTGAAGGACAGAACTTTTCTTCTCTGCTGAAACAGAATCGCTTCAGCTGGCTATGCTTTTATTTTCCTTCCTAAATACTTTAAAAGTATTCTTTCTTTTTCATCTTCTACTAGCTTACCACATGTGGCAAGCACACAACCATCACAACTATTTCAGATACCAACAACCCTTTTAAATCTGTATTGCTATCCATAAATTACTGTACACACTGCTACTGCTTGGTACTTGCTATCACACATTCTCTGTACAAAGCTGTATGCATATGTGTATAACATTCACATCTCAGAAGCAAACACTCTCCTCCCCAGGTAGACTCGAGGAATGTTATATTTCAACTCTTCCAATTCAAAATTCATCAGAAGCTGCATGCAAACCATTAAGAAGTTATGACTCGAATCCTGGAGCACCTTCTCTGCTGTATAAAATAAGGAGCTTTCTCTTTAAACTGTGGCTTAATCCGCAGATGGAGACTTTCAGGAGATGCAGGTTACATAGCAGCCTTTTCTCTACTGTGAATTAAGTACCTTTTATCACATTGCTTATCCGGTGTCACTGAGCAGATCTTGCCTTCACTGGCCGTACACCATCTGAGCCTCTTCTGGCTCCCAACTGTTGACGTATTAAAGGGATGCTGTAAATTTGAGAACCTAAAATGAGAGCTAACTTGGGTTTCAAGTACACACACAGCTTAGGCACCCTTTGGGGAGCTGTTACTATGTGTTACAGCTAGCAAACAATGGACTCGGATTTATGACTTGTTTGTCTAGCACCCATACCTAAACATCTTTCCAGACAAGACTTGCTGAAAGATGCTTGAAATCCAATACAGACCAGTAACAGACCATAGGGGGCCAAAGAAGACAGACATCTCCAATAACAAGCAGATTGACAGATAAGACAGCAATCCGTCTGACATTACTGAGAGCTAGTATGAAAGAAAACATTAGGGAGGAAGGAAGAGAGTTGATCAAAACAGCAGAGTTTAAAACAGGTTTTTATTACAACTCCCTCTCCGCTGCCAACAGGAAGCTTATTATCAAAGCACGTGCAAGAAAGGTTCGATCATTTTTACCTTTGTCAGAAAAATCACAACTCAGAACCCATCTCATCCAGTCATGGAACAGACTGGCTGTTACATGTTATGGCTAATTAAAGTTCTTCCATTTCCATAGATCTGGCCCAAGAGTCACTAGATTTGAGCTTATCTCAATTTCCCCACCACTACTGGCAGGCGCAGATAGAAGTAAAATACGTTAAAAAAAATCAACACATCCAAACCATTCTTGTTGCAGTGATAATTCAGGCTAGCTGTGCAATTGTATTCTCATTTACATTTTTTTTTTTAATGCTTCATACCTTTCCTATACTGAACTGCTGTCACGAGATAAACTGCTCCTTCACTTTTTAGCAACTTTATGGATTTCTCATGACTGTTCTTCATAATAAAAACTATGACAAAGCTCCTCAAGGAGGATGCAGGAGAGCTTGGTGTGACCCAACTACACAATAAAAGACAGTTCTGCAGGATGGCTGAGCTGATAGCAATGCCTATGGCAGGCTCAGAATTGTACTACATCAAAGCTGACCTTCCATGTTTTCATTTTTTCCCCCTTGCCTTCTATGGCACACCACGAGTTCAGTCAACAGAATTAAAACCAGAAGTTTTAACACACCATCAGCACGTAATGTTCCAGTATAACACTTACGTTCTATCTGGGTTTCAGCTGAGATAAATTTCACTTTAATATTTACTTAAATAATGATGGAACATTTCACAGTTGATACTGGGTGTATATCTTGCTCCAGTTATCAGAGGTGAGGTGATTCATGGTATATATCTGGAGTGAGATTAAGACACAAAGAGAAGTCAACTGTTGTCCAACCAGTTTATTACCTGCGAAAACTCAGGCAGACTGAGACAAAAAAATCTTTATGTACAGTATCTCTCAGTGTATTAATCAGATTATGCAAACTGCATTTAATCCACTGCTACAAGCATGAAATACAGTACAGTACAATATTCATTACCATTTAAAAGAAGTCTCAAATCTTTCTGATTGTGGGCTGCGTGTTCAATCAATTTACAACAAAGCGTTTCTGTGTACATAACAGAAATAGTTGGAATTCCCTTATTGACAGCATCACAAAACTCTTAAACCTCCCCAAAATACTGTTATATGGAATAAACTGTCGTCATAATGAAAGTCTTCAATAAATCGTTGTGCCAAAAAGATTAAGACAGGAAAAATCCATTTCAGGTAAATAAATGAAAACAATAAACAGTAGGTAAGGTATTGTACCTACAAGTGTAGCAAATCAGAACAAAATCTCTCTCTATTTTTCTTTATTAGCAGTCTTAGGTGCAGAACAATTAATATTCTCAGTGGATACAACTGAAGTTAGTCGCCTGGTCTTTACCTTACAAGAAATTGCAAGGAGAAAACACTCAGAGATGAGAAGAACTTGTGGAACTCATATGACAGTGTTTGCACAGAAGCTTAACTGCAGTCACTGATCTTCTAGATAATTATATATGAAATATCAATTCAGAAATGTGATTTAGAGGTATGGCTGTAGCTAGAACATTACTTTCCATATTCATGTGATCACAGTTCATAATGTTTGCTTATATGGGGTACCTTTTCCTCCCCAGGCAAATACTAATTGCACTGCTTAATGCACTATGCTTATTCTGTCAGCATATTTGCTCCTTCCCCACCAGTGGCATCCTCAGAAATATGGAGATCCTCCAGCATTTCAGCCAGACTGATCCGAGGGGCCCCATCATCATCTGTGTCACTCTCCACTGGAACGTCTGCATCTAAAAAAAATCAATTAAAAAAACATCAACCAAAAAAAACCCGAACAGCTAAGCAAAAGAAAAGAAAACCAGAGCAACCTGAACAACCCCAAGTGACTGAAAACATGCAACAAGCAAACAAACTCCCCCATAAAATCCAACTCCAAAGAATAACGCTTGCCTTCTTGGAAGATGCCAAGTTAATCATCATGTTTTTTACCCAGCACAGGTTTTGAGAGTCCAGGAAAAAGGCTTTTATCTTATGTTAAAGGTAAGCAAGCGACATGAGCATCACTCAGTGCAAGTGAGCAATACCTCATGCTGTTACATTACAGCATTACTCCAAGAATGAGCAGTTCAAAGATCCAAACACAGGGTTTCAGCAAGAATATTTTTGCTCAAATAGCTGTGATCAAATTACATGCAATTCAATCGTAAAAGAGGCCTTACTTCTGTAAATGTTGACGTTTTTCCTTATGGCTTCATCTTCTTCCAGATCTTCAAGGAAGTCCTGGTATTGTCTGCAAACGAGGTTTAATGTATTTACTCACTTTCCCTTTGCATTTATGCAAATTTATAAAAAGAAATGGAAAGAAAAAAGCTCCAAGAAAGGACTGCAGTCCTTCAGTTGTGCCTTCTGATAACATTCTTACATTGTCAACTCATTCTTTCTGCCTTTTTTTCATTTTATTTTGATTACTGTTAGCACCTACTCGTTTCCAAAATATATGTAAACTGCCTGTCCTCATTTAACTCTAATTGCCTCCTTTTTCTTACTCAGTTAGACATTATTTGTTATCTGCTGCTGTTTCAGCTTTGCCATGGAACAATGACAAACATGTTTTCACAAAAGCAACCCTTAGCTAAAAAAACCAGCAGCCATAAGGTACAATAGCTCTGACATTCATCATTTGCCTCATGTAAATGAGTAAATCTGTTTGCAGGGTTATCTTGAAGATTCAGGATTTAGTTCATTCCTTGACCCCCCACCAGCCACCTCAGTATCCGCCTTCCCCGAAACCTAGCAGTCAAGATAGAGTATTCTAAAAGCACAAGTAAGGTGCACAGATATGTTTAAAGCACTTCTTTCACTAGGAAAGATGCAAAGACTGTATTGTTTAGAACCTATCCTATTTTATCAGCCATCATCACACCCCTACAGAACCAGCAGCATTTGCTTGTGCCCCTGTAACAGTAGTAGGGCATTACACTGGGGGTTTTGTCCTTAGCAGAGAGTGGTAAATGGCATTTTCAGACTTAGCATGCTATCCTAGGTAGAAAGGACTTCAAAACTTCATGGCTGATACCTTTCATCATCTGTATCCATGCCTTCTCTGTCTCTTTCCAGCTCTTTCAGTTTCCAGTTTCTGCGATGCTGGCGCTTGGCACGGTCGTAGCTCTTCTTTATCAATACCTACAGTGGAAACCCACAGATATTTACATGCACACACACCATAATATGCAACTCACGACACGCTTTAAAAAAAAAACAAAGCAACACCTAAATCTAGATTTGGGCAACTGTAACATCAGAACAAACAGCAGACTCAGTCTTACAAACAAACTGCAGACAGTAACATATGACACCTGCACTTTTGGCAGTCTGGCACTAAAAAGTTTTAAATAGAATTCATACAGCATTTTTCAATTCAAACCAAAGTGTTTGGAAACTTTTATTTCCTGAAGAGGCAAACCCTGGAGATGTCAGAGTTTTCACCACACAGGGTAATTTGAACAGCAATGAATAAGGCAGGTTAAGGTAAATGTATTATTTAAACACCACACTAAAATATAAGTAGCGAGAAACTAATTCTCACTGATTAGATTCCATTCAAATTTCAACATTAACATTTCCACGTTGAGCACCAGGCAACCAGTGTGCATCTGATTTAAAGCCACTTGATTTTCCTGAGCAATGCAGAGAAATCTGTACAGACAAAGCAAATGATCTTACCACGTCAGGGACGTTGTGTGGGCTCATCTTATTCACAAACTCGTCATTCAAGTTACAGTTGGCCAAGTCAAATCTAAAATGAAAACAGGTAGTTCATACTTTTATTTAAGTACAGAAAAACGAAGTCAAGGTTTTATATGCTAGTATTAAAGAGCAAATGTAATGTCTGCATTAAAGATCATAGTCTCAGTTATAGCTACTCAGAAAAATGAATGTTTCCAAACTAAGGACAGAGAAAAGAAGAAATCCACAACAATATGCACTTGTCATAACTGAGGAACTCTTAGAGCAAGCTGCTGTCCCCACATTCTGTTCAGTAGCACCATTGCACTCACCAGCCTCATGAACCCACACACATCCCTGAGATTCTGCTGCCTTCAAAATATTCATGTTTATTCCCATTTACTTGAGAATCACTAACCAAACCCCATCCTAAAAACATTCACATTTGTCACTGCTGTATGCAATACTCACATTTAATCAAAAAGGTCATATGCCTTCACTTTACTTTGATCTTGCCTAGTGTTTTCAAAATCTCATCTGTGTCTGCACTGTTATTCTCATCTCACTTTAGAAGTCAACTAGCAGCTAGTTTTATGGCATGAGTTCTGCTAGAAGTTTTACTGTATTATAACCATCTATCTCTTCATAGCCAAGATGAAAGATTCTATCCCTTCTGCAGATCTCATTTAGGAAATTCACAACTTTCTTGATAATACACAGGCACGTACAGAATCCAAGTCAGCAGTATGAACTGAAACAACCATTCCAGCTCCCTAGCAAATTAAGAATAGAATTCAGTCATCAGATACCAGTATTTTCTTTTGTGTTTGCTCCTGAGAGAC